ATTTTGCTAATCTTTTTAAAGAACCAACTATTGGTTCTGTTGACTTTCTTTTTTGTTTTTCTATTCTCTATTCCACTGATTTCTGCTCTAATCCTTATTATTTTTTTCCTTCTCCTAGCTTTGGATTTAGTTTGTTCTTCTTTTTCTAGTTCTGAGATCATTCCTGTAACCTAATGTGCACATTTAAAGCCATAAATGCTTTGAGTGTCACATATTTTTATTTGCTAATACGGCAACACTACCTATGAAGAACTATGACTTCTGTCTTATGTGTGCTTCCTCTCACGCCCACTTTCTCAGTATGGTAAATCGAGCTGCCTTGCTCTGAACTGCCCCTCCAGTCAAACAAGGATGAGAGGAGGACTCAGAGCCAGAACTAATGAGGACCTAAATCTTGTCAACAACCATATGAATGAGTTTAAAAATGGATTGACATCTCATTTGAGTTTTTAAGACGAGTATAGACCTGGTCCACACCTTGATTGCAGCCTTGTAAGAGATCAGGGCCAGAGGACCTTGCTGAGCCATGGCTGATTCCTGACCCACAAGAAATTATGAGATAATAAAAGTTTGTTGCATTAAGTCACTACATTTTAGGGTAATTTGTTATGAGGCAGTAGGTAACTAACTGACACAGTGTCTTAACATTTTCTTGAGGTGTACCAATTTCATCTACATGCTTTTCTTTTGTATATATTTTTTACAACCTTGAGAAATGTACCTGGCACATATATGTGATATATGAGTTACTCAGGGATATGAATTTGAGAATCTGACATAAAAGTAGATCATTTAAGTGACAGTCTAGATACAATAAAAATATCATATGAGTAAGCATTTTATTGATAATAAAACAAATAAGAGTAAGAGTTTTGTTGGAACTGCTGAAGAGGGTACTCCTAAGAGATTCAGTAAGCAGAAAATAAAAATGAAACAGACAATATTTATGGAGTCTTTTCAATTATACACTCTTTTCAATTTAGGGAACCTAATAAAGGGCTTATGTAACAGCATTTTAATTTTTTTAAAAATTTTTTAAAAGATTTTATCAATTCGAGAGAGAGAGAGAGAGAGACCCAGAGACGCAGGCAGAAGGAGAAGCAGGCTCCCTGCAGAGAGCCCAACGTGGGACTCAATCCCGAGTCTCCAGGATCAGGCCCTAGGCTGAAGGCAGCGCTAAACCACTGAGCCACCTGGGCTGCCCTGTAACATCATTTTAAAATTCTTGCATATATTGATTAAACTCACTATGATGTATTAGTCAATGGAAGACTCTGTAGTCATTCAAGATAAAGGTCCACAGATATATATCTATAGAATGGAGACTTGTTCACAGTAAAATGTCTAATGAAAAGATGGGTCAATTGTAAATTTAAAAAAATTTTTTTGCTATTATAAACAGTACTATGATGAACATCTTCATAGCAAGATCTCTGCACACATCCATGATTGCATTAGTCTTGATTCTCTAAAGAAACAGAATGAGCAGGAGAAATTTAGAAAATTAGAAATTTCCTAATGTAATTATAGAAGTTGAAGACCTAAGAGAGCAAATGATATAGTTCCAATCTAAGTCTAAAGGCCTGAGAACCAGGAGACCCGAAGTTGTTCTAGTCTGAGTCTGAGTCTGAAGGTAGGTGGAGACTGATGTCCCATCTCAAAGACAGACAGAGAGAAAGAATTCTTTCTTACTTAGGCTTTAATTCTATCCAGGCCTTCGACTGATTGGGAAAGGCCCACCCACACTGAGGAAAACAGTCTACTTTACTTAAGTCTACAAATTCAAATGTTAATCTCATCCAGAAGCACCCTCACAGGCACACCCAGAAATAATGTTTTACCAAATATCTGGGCACCCTGTGTCCAGTCAAGTTGACATCCCAAAATTTAGTCATCACAATGATTATATACTAAGAATGAATTCCTAGAAGTAAAATTGCTAGGTTCAGTGTATGCCACTTTTTAAGGGTTATGTCTTGGTTTAATCCATTTCTGATCATTCCAGGTGACCATGATAATGGATTTTATCCTTGTCTCCAGTGTCTGCTCCAGCCTTTGCACATTGCTAATGTAGGTCTCATAGGAGGGACTCATCAAGTCACTTGCCTCCAATCTCCCTACTCACTATCATTGAGTGGTTTACTGGCAAATTCTCCACTATTCTACTGCTCTGCTAAATCTATTGCTAGGTGGCCTTTTTGTTTGGTTTGGTTTTAAAGACATTGAATTACTGACAGTTTCAGGATCAATATATGTTTACTAGACACTATTCTTTGGTTAAAAATCCACCAGTTTTTCCTTGTGTGTGTGTAAAACAGAACACAACTGTTTATATTCAGAAGGAAACTAACCTGACTTTATCTGTAACTTAATTACCATGAAGTCCCATGTGTGGTCTACAGAGCTGCATAAATTAATAATGCTGTAATTGTGGAGTTCACATACCAGGAATCGTTACTGCCCTTCTCTAGAGAACCAAGCTAGCAAACTGGGTTTGCATTAACCTGTATTCTCTGAGTGGACTTTTTTTTTTTTTTAATCTCCCTGAACATTTCCACCCCTGTCCTGCCCTTTTTGTTATGTCCCTTCTACTCTCCTTGGAAGCAGACTGTGGCATGCTTATAATCATTGCTTCTTCTCTGGGTGACTATTGAAATATCCCCTTAATATTTCTCCATTATAATGCAAGCCGTCAATAGCACAATGCCTTGTTGGCCTGCCTTTCCAGGACAAAGTACAGAGCCATTCCATTACTCTGGCATCCATCAGGACAATAAGCCACAAATCTTTTTCAGTGCAGCTCCAGACGTGGCTGCCTTTGGGCTGGAAGGCAGGGAGAGACAGGAATGTTTCCCCAGTATGGAGAGAAATCAAACGCGTGTATTCTGGTTTCTTCTGCATGTGCTCTTTGGAATGAGTCACCATGTACTTTAACTAGAGGCTGTGATTGGAAGGAAGGAAAGTTTTCTTTGGTGAAATGATTCAGTCGGAGAGATTGCACAAGTCCATTGGGGACAAGACTCCAATATGTGCTTAATTTTCTTTGGAGGATTTGCTAATGATTGGTGGGAGCCCCAGTTCCTATTTATTACTTACTTTTCTTAATAATGAAAAAGAGACCATATGTTGGGTGTGCAGCTTGCTGATAAACTCACTTGGAGCAATGACTGGCAAGTGTGTGTATTTTGTACACTGTGCTATTAAGGGGGGAAAATCCTAAACTCTATTAAGAAATTTGCAGCCTTTGAAGCTGGTACTACTTGGCCTTCAAGGTTTATGCTAATATCAGCTGAACATGTGAGGCGTTAAGTGTTTTATTATTTTTTAGAAGAATTTTGAACATTTCTTACCTCACTAGGAACATCAAAATAAATTCCAGATGGATTAAAGAGTTAAATATTTTAAAACCTTAACTGTTAGAAAATCTGGAAGAAAATAGATGCGAATATTTATCAAACCTCCTGAGGGGGAGAGTTTCCCAAGCTTAGAATTGATGGAATAAATCACTAAGGATGTGATTGATAGATATGACTACATCAAAATTTAAAACTTTTATACATCAAAAAAAATAACCAAGATTAAAAAGCAATCAACAAAACTAGAGATGGTATTGTAGGAAGTTTGACAAAGAGTAACTTCTTTTAATAAATATAAAACTCATATAGATTCAATTACACAAATACCAGAATCCCAGTAAATACATGGAGAAAAGATATAAATAGGCAAAATACAAATATGAAGTATATTGATAAATGACTAGAAACTTTTTTTTACCTTTCCCAACTAACCAAATAAATGCAAATGAAAATAATAGGGAAGGCTTATTTTCCCCTTTCAGAGATTCCCCACTAAATTATCTGGTATTTTAAATGAAATAAAAATATCCAATGTTGACAAGAGTGCAGGAAAATAATTATTCTCATTCATTGATGAGGGGAAAGTTAACAGATAACATCCGTCTTCTTAAAAATCCCTTAAAATAAAAATTTGTATTATAAATAACTGGAAAGACAACTTTGTATGATGAAACTTTAGACTGGTTTTAAAGAATGTCCCTCTTTTTCCATTTTTTCTGGTTTTTCTATATTTTCTATGATAGTGATAATATTGCTTTTAATCTAAAGGAAATCATAAGTCTCATCAACTTTAGCTTTGTGGTGCCATGGAGCCCTCAACCAGGTTTTTTTTTTTTTTTCTAATGCCACTTCTAATGCAATTATACCATTTTCTCTTTCTTCTTCATCTTCTTCTTTTTTAATTTTTAAAGAAGGCCCCATACCAACCCTGGGGCTTAAACTCATGACCCTAAGATCAAGAGTCACATGCTGTACCAACTGAGCCAGCCAGGTGGTCTTATTTTCTCTTTCTTAGTATCAAAGCTCTAGACCCTTCTATGCATAGAACCATACCCCCCTTTCCTGCCATCAGTATGGCACTATTTTCTGACATTTAAGTCCCCCCCCCCTTTTTTTTGCCTATGGCCTTGACCAATACTCTCTCCTTCAAATTTGATTGTTTTCCCCATAAATCTACTTTTAACCCCAACTTATTTTCAATTAACTTTTGTGCCTTTACTGCTAGTGCTTATTCTTCCTGAGTCTTCATTTCCTCATCTATTAATTGGGTACAATAATGGCATCTACTATACAGTAGAGTTATTGTGAGCATTTACTCAAATGAGAAAATGTAAATAAAAGTCCTTTGCAAGCCTTGACACCCTAGGCCAATATCGTTGTTCTGGTGATTATTGCTTACCCTGGCTATATTTGTATTTCAGAACTGTGGCCACAAAAGTAGTTGAATATTTTCTATCCCAGCTCCTGAGGAATGATCTAATTTGCATACATGCCAGGAGAATGAGGAGTCCTGTGCTCTGGGAAGGAAGTTAGAGAGCTCTGCCTTTGCTTCTCAGCCTCTTTATTTGTCCTGTATCAGAATGACCTTGATGCATCTTTCCATAGTGTGTTAGACTGGTGGATTGCTTTTTACTGAGTGCTTACCTCAAATTGCCAGGCATTTCCTAGTTCCAGGAGCTCTTCCAGGTGTTAGGTGAGAGATCAGTAAGGGATCTCCTACCCTTCAAGGGTCTACAGCCCAGAGGAGGAACATTGGACCTGTAAACAGATGGTCACAATCAACATGGTCCATTCTATAATGTGCATATAGTTAAGTACACAGAAGAGCTAGTTGGTTGTTCAGTCTATCCAGGACACAGAAGAGTCAGGGACTAGGGCAGGCTGGGGATGGCTTTACAGAAGGAGCCTTTGGAATGAGCTTTGCAAGGTGCAGAGTATTTTTCTAGATGAGAGGTGAGTTAAAGATCCTCTGTGCCATGGGGAAGGTTTATATAAAGCCATAGTGAGGTGCAAAACTGTAGCACAGGGCAATGATGAAGACTCAAAATGTCTGGAATACATCCTGGGGGAGATAGATGGGTGAGGTTGTAGAGGGTGAGTTGGCAAGACCTTAGCCATTGGGGACTATGTTTATCTTGATCAGAAAATAGGTATCCACATCTGTGATCCAGAAACCTAGAAGCTGTACTTCTAGAATTATATTTTTCAGATTTTAGGATATAATACAGTAATTGTACTGTGTGTATCATATATCTCCCAGCAGAGCCTGAGGTAGTGCCCTGTGATAATCCCATTAGTATTTCTGATGCTGAATAGTCACACTTAAGAAAGAAAGAAGATAAAGAATCTTATGTTAGTTTAGACCAACTTTCGCTCCCAAATATGTAGGAGGAGACTCTGGATTTCAGAGATTATTGGATTTTAAAATCAAAGGTAAGGAATTATATGTAAGAGGGCAACCTGGGTGGCTCAGTGGTTTAGCACTGCCTTCAGCCCAGGGCATGATCCTGGAGACCTGGGATCGAGTCCCACGTCAGGCTCCCTGCATGGAGCCTGCTTCTTCCTCTGCCTCTCTCTCTCTCTCATAAATAAATAATTAAAATCTTTTTAAAAAAGGGAATTACACGTAAGAAATGTAGTAGGTTTTCTTGTTTTGTTTTGTTTTAATATTGAGGCCAATAGGTGGCCACTGAAAGATTCTGCACAGGGAAGTGACATAATCTTATTGGGTGATAGAAAAATGTATGTGCAGCCTTTGTAGAGGGTAAATTAGGAGAGGAAGCCAAGGGGTTCTTTGATTTTCTCCGAACTCTCCTCCTGACCCTTTTGGTCTCTTTGAATCTCTTTTGACACTTCTGTTACTACTTTTTGGTGCTCTAGAAGGAGATCTCTTTGTAGGTGCAGTCCTAACGTGCTGGTCCTTCTTCCCAGGGGCATGACTTTCCACTCACCTTAAGTCCCATTTGCCCTGGAGACTCCCCCTTGTCCTTTATTCCTCAGTGTTTATAGTTCTGTTTCTACTTTCAGAACTTCAGCACTCTCTAAGAGAAGGAAAAAGTCATCTATGGGTGAGGATGCAGCCCAGAGACAGATGTGACAGAACAAGTTGGTGTCCAAGATGGTTCTAGATCTCAGCTGCTATGGACTGAGTTTTTGTGTCCCTCCACAATTCACACAATGAAGCCTAGTCTCCAGTGGGATGATATTTGGAAGCAGGGCTTTTTGGAGTTAATTAGGTGGTGAGGATGGAGCCCTTATGAATGGGATTAATGCTCTTATAAGGAGAGACAGAAGAAACAGGATTACTCTCTGTGCCTTGTGAGTAGGATGGCAAACCAGGAAGAGAGCCTTCACCAGAACCCGCTCATGCTGGCACCCTGATCTCACGCTTCCAGCCAGCCTCCAGAACTTCGAGAAAGCCATGCCTGCTGTTTAAGCCCCCAGTCAGTGGTATTTGTCATAGTAGCCTGAACTGACCAAGACCCCAGGTCTCCGTGACCCTGTTTTGGAATCTTTTCCTCTGCATTGATGTCAGTGAGCAATGTCATTCGGAGAGCTTGGTGTGTGTCTTGGCTGTTTTCTTCTTTTTTTTTTTTTTTTGGCTGTTTTCTTCTTAAGGGACAATTTGAAAGCAGGATTTTGTGGTTTCTTTTTTATTTTTTTCTTTATGATGCTAGAGAAATGATGGTTTAGATTTTAGTTTAGCCTTTTATACTAGATCAGCATTGATGAGCTGGAGTCATTATTTCATTACTTTTTTTAAAAGATTTTATTTATTTGAGAGGGAGAGAAAAAGAGCAGGAGGAGGGGCAGATGGAGATGGAGACAGAACCTGAAGCGGACTTTACCCTGAGCACCAACCCTGGTGTAGGGCTGGATCCCACAACTGCAAGATCATGACCTAAGCCAAAACCAAGAGTTGGATACTTAACTGACTGAGCCACCCAGGCATCCCACTATTTCATTCTTAACCAATGATGTTTTTGATGTACAATAGTATGGTTATTATTGTTTACGGATAATTATTTTACAACTTCCAATTGCTTCTTACTAGCTGAAGAGAAGACAGCTGGCATAATAGGAACCGACTGCTAAGGAAATGCTTCCTAGCTCTTTATTGTTTTTCAAACTATGGTGCTGCATCTTCCTTCCTTTAACCATGAAAAGAAGCAGTTTGGAAAGAAGCTTGTGCAATACTTATAAAATAGCATATCATCTAAAGAGCGTTATTTAAATAGGGTATTCTCTTTGCCAAGTGTTTTAATAAACATTCAGTTACTAGGTAGAAATGTTAAAAAGAGGAAAGAGAAAAATGCATCTATGAAGATTTCACACACCCTAAGCAGTGTATTTTTTTTTCCAGCTATTTTATTTTCCTTTGCCCCCTGCATTTTCTCTGGCCACTGAAACAGGAATTACTCCCACAATACTTTGCAACAGACACATGTGAACTATACTGAAACATAGTTCAGGTGGTCTATAAATAGCTCACTGGAATAGCACAGTGCTGCTGCTGGGAGACAGGAAAGCAAGGCAAAATCCAGAGCTCAACAAAGCCTGTCAGAACATTTCAGGAGGAGAAGTTTGATACATTTAGGCCTGGTGATCTTTCATGTTGGATCTGACTATTGGGGTTTACCGATCTGGCTGTTGGGGATTGTCGGATACCTACCTAACTCATGATCACAGATGATTTCTCAGGGTAGGGAAGACTGGATCTCAGTTGTGAAACACAACCTTGGGCACGTAACTTTTCAAGATAGTTTCTTCATATGGCAAACTGATACATCTGCATCAAAAGATTGTTGTAGAGTCCAAATGAGATAATATGGAAATATATAGTGTTACACTCAGCACATAGAAAGAAATGCTCATGACACAGTAGAGAAAGCACGTTCTTTGGATTCATGACCCCTGGGTGCAAATCCTTCTCCCTCCCATTTACTCAAGATGTAAACTATAGTAAGTTACTTAACTTTTTCAAGATTCATTTTCCTTATTTATAAAATGATGATAACAAGTTGGTAAGATAATGATGCTAAGAGTTCAACTTATTGGGGGATCCCTGGGTGGCTCAGCAGTTTAGCGCCTGCCTTCGGTCCAGGGTGTGATCCTGGAGTCCCTGGATCAAGTCCCACATCGGGCTCCCTGCATGGAGCCTGCTTCTCCCTCTGCCTGTGTCTCTGCCTCTGTCTCTCTCTCAGTCTGTGTCTCTCATGAATAAATAAAATATATTAAAAAAAAGAGTTCAACTTATTAAACAATTATTCATCAAGTTCATAGTGTCAACTAAGCACTGTTCTGGGTGATGGGGATAAAATAGTGGGTAAGACTTATTCCTTCCCCTTACAGTGCTCAGATACTCATCATAAGGTGGATAATTGAACAAACAATTATAGTAGAGTGTGATAAGCATCATGTTGTGTAATGACAAGGCCCAAATGGGAATGCACCTATTGGGGAAACTAATCTAGAATCTGGGAGTTAAGAGAGATTTTTTAAAAGAAGTGATGGCTCAGGTAGAAACTGAAGAAAGTGCAAAAGTTAGCTGGTTTAAGTGTGACTGGAAAGAGTCGGTTATACATAATCATTATCTAAAATATTTTATATTTCTCACTTCATCCTCACAGTGATCCTAAGAAGATCCTATTATTACCCCAATTTTACAGAGGAAGAAACTAAGGACTAGAGAGAGCCATGTCCAGATTTACTCTAGAAGGCACCTTTTGGAGCCTTTGTGAGCTCACCACAATTTTCTTTCTTCTAGAAATGCCTTCATTCCAGTCCCTCTGCCCACAGTGGTGTCTCTACCAATGGGCTTCTGCCATAGTTATGTATTCTGATCCATAATCGATTAGACTGAAGATGAACATCTCACCAAAGGTTGGCCACATATGTTACCTTACCATTCTATAATGCCAATCCTATTATTATGCTTAATAGAATAAGTGAGGCAACATAGAGTTTAGCTTTAAACATAATCTCAGAAAAATAATGTATTCAAAATACCATGTGCAATACCTGGCACATAATAGATAAAAATGAATGCTAGTTCTTTTTTCCTCATATCCTTTGTTCAGTAGGGTCACAAATGACATACTGACCTCAACCTAACACTAACGTGTTCAACAAGCTAGAGTCATGTTTTTCTCACTCATGTTCCCAGTTCAGATTTAAACTCTTTACATTCTAAAATCTCTCCCCAAAGGCAATTCCTCCTTTAGTCAATAACCCACTCACTTGAAACTAGTTCATTAAATAATAGCTTCTAGAATTTTTCATTGATGGCAATGGAAGCTCCAGATGACCATATCTTGTCTATTTCCCTCCGCAGCTAGGGAAGAGTAAGAAGAAACATTTATTTTACCAAGAAAATAATAACTCTGTAACACAAATTTAAAAAAAAAAACTAAATTATACTTGAACTAAGTTAATCTATATGAATTAGGCTGATATTTAAATTGTTTTCCTTATATGAATGTTATTATAGGCACCCAAAACATCCTGCTGTGTGGGGTGTTAAGTGGTTCACGAATAAAGCTGAAATGCCAAAATTAATAGCACAGCTGCATGCATAGCAAAACTTGAGCTCTAATTTCATTATGATTTTCCTTCTTATAGATAAATATTGTCACATATATCTTAAGTTTGGGCAAAGGATTTGAGGAAGATGAACCTTCAGATATCTAACAAGTGAGGGAGTAGGTACCAAGGTAAGACTAGCACAGGTAGGAAAAATTACTAGCATCCAGACTGAATGGAAACCATCTTTCCTTCACAGCTCTACTCAGCCCCACTGCTCCAAGAATGCTCTATTGCATCTTGTGATTGGCAAAGCTGCAGATGAACTTCAAATTCCCACAGGCAGCCATAGAACCATGCGGTCTCTAGATTCTTTGGCAGTATGAAGACACCTGGGTTAGTCCACATTAGAGTGATCACAGCCCAGCCCAAGTGAAACAGGATAATCAGGCACTCCCTAAGGGGACCTGATATGGTAAAAGTCCCCAAGTAGACTGCCAACCCCTGGAGAACTGTGTACAAAGCCCATAGGACCATCCATCCCTTCCAGCCCTATGTCCTTATAGCTTCCTCAGAATTATAAGACAATGACCTTCTTTCCCAATGGGGTGGGGGTGCTGCATAAGGGTTATATCACTTTGATTTTTCAGATTAAAACTCTCTACAGGGCAGACCCAGGTGGCTCAGTGGTTTAGCGCCGCCTTCAGCCCAAGGCGTGATCCTGGAGACCCAGGATCAAGTCCACGCCAGGGTTCCTGCATGGGGCCTGCTTCTCCCTCTGCCTGTGTCTCTGTCTTTCTTTCTCTCTCTCTCTCTCTCATGAATATATAAAATTAAAAAAATAAATCTTTAAAAAATAATAAAATAAAATAAAATAAAACTCTCTACAGCACCCGTCTATCCAGATTAGCAGAATGGCCAATACCCTCTCCTTTCCTATCCTGAATTATCAAAGAACTTTAGGGTTTATGTAATCCAAAAGATTCCATCCTGCTCCAAAATGGTTCTTGGAGTGGAAACTTGGCAATCATGTAAACCCATTCTTGGCCTCTGTTTTTTCCTGTCATTGCTTTTGTAGCTGTCACATGGCCTTGTTCTTGAAAACAGATTTATGCTCAAATGTGTGCCCTGTAGGTGTCATGCCTCTCATCCTGAATTACCTATGCTGCTCTGGGCATCAGGTGATTCCATCTGGTGATAGGGTATCTAAGAGGAAAGGGGAATCTTTCCCCAGAGTGTTGTGTCTGGGTTCCTGAGTTCCCAGCAATGTAACAGAATGCTGGACAAGGTCCTCCCATAGTGTATGAAAAAGGACCTTTCTGCCCCCCTCAAAGCTGCATCAGCCAAGGATTCCCTGAGTCAACGCTGGCCTGGACTCTCATAACTCTTGGTTGTTTCCCCTCCGGGCATCAGCCAATCCCCAGGATGGCTGTGTAAGAAACTGGCTCTGGAGCCTGTGACCTCAGGGACCCTGATGCTATTCCCCTTCTACCTTCATACTTCTGCTCTGGAATCAATGCCTCAGAAGTCCCTCCTTTCTTTCCAAGTCCCCATCCATTTCCTATCTCAGAAGGAATGATAACTGCTTTTAAGAGTCGACACTGTCAATCACATGCCAATAGCAATAGAAAGACTGTTCCCAAACACAGTGGTCCATGTAGAATGAATGTATACAGAAGATTTTCTTAGTGTAATTTTGTAGATGAGGACATTGAGGCCCAGAAAGGCTCAATGACTGGCTCAAGGACACACAGCCAGAGATAGACTCCAGGTCTGTATGATTCCCAGCTAATGAATCTATAGATATGAGCGTGGTTTTGGGTAACATCAGCTAGAACAAGAACAGGAAAGAATGCATTTGGGTGCACAGGTTGTGATAGCAGTGAGTACATCAAGGACAACCCAGAACTCTGGCAAAAATCCATCCAGAGCAATTCATGGAACTGCATTTCCTTAGAACCTTCTATCTCTCTAGGTCCTGCTCTTTACTTCCTCTTTCAGTTCCCTTCTTGTCATGCATCAGGCCAAGATATCAAGTCCTTGTGGAATGCTGGGTGGCATCTCTGTCTTTGTAGATGCTGCCATGGATTGGACCCTGAGGGAGAGAAATGAGGACTTCCTGGGAGTCCAGGACTGAGTAGGTACTAGCCCACTATAGTCTCTTAATTACTGTTTGTCACATGGATGTTCACTATACATGTTCACCATGGTGCCTGTTATTTACCACCACCTTTGAAGGATGTCAGTCCCACCCATGACAAATGACCCCTACATAGTTTCTTGAATAAAGAGTTGCTACTTACTAGATTGGTAGTAAATATGTGACTTGAGGGCAGCCAACTCATAGGTTGACCATTGAGTCATAATGAAGATCGGCCTGAAACGTCAGGGCAATGGTAATCAGTGACCCTAGCCAAATTTTCTGCTTTTGGAATGTCACTTGGAAAATACAGAAAGCAGACGAGTTTATCAAAGATGAACAAGAAGACATAAATAGAAGGAAAGAATAAACAGCAAAGTCCCAGCATTGGTGGTGCCTTGAATTTGAGATAAAAAATTGGCCTCTTTTGTGATCTAGTTTCTTTTGTTGAATGTATGTCCTGACAACAAATGTTTTATATTTTTGAGGTAGCTTAACAGGGTCTCTGTTTGTAGCAAAACCAAAAGAACCCTCTCTGAGGTGGGTAAGGATACAGCCCTGTTTTGGGGGTGCAGGCTTTTCATTGATCAATAATTTACTACCACTGCCCAGGCCTGGCCTTGGCTCTGTACTTGGTTCTGGGTCAGGTTGGAGTCTTTTCTTCCCAGATCCCCTTGTACTGTTCTTGGCCTCTTCCCATGGGGCAGATAGCTCCATGGCCTCTCTCAACATGGAGGACTGCCAGGGCCTCACATAGGGATACCAAGCCCCAGGGGTGGGTGCTGCATCACTGGGCAGTGGAGAATGCTCATAAGAACCACTTTTTACTACCTTCTCCATCTGTCATGGTTTTCTCTTCACACTGCTTCTTTCAGCAGCCTGAGTTTGCTGCTTCCTTCAAGGCTGCTGTTCTGGATAAGACGTTACCTAGCTATCTCAGGTCTGGCTTCCTCTTATTTATTTAGGTGTCTCATTGGGTCTCACCTGGCTTCAGGTTTCTTGTGTCATCCTTTGCTTTGTCCAAGATCTCCCCAGAGAGACCAGCCACATCAGCAAAAAGAAAATGAAGTGAGCAGTGAGACTGACCCCTTAAACTGCATCTTGAAGAGATTTGCAAGCCTAGTGCATTTTGGAAGATTACGTTCCCAGAGATTGGCTTAACTCTCTGGTTAATTTAAAACTAAAGTAAAGGGTGAAGACTATTTTCTAGAGTTCTGTTCTTCATGGATGAGGAAATAGGATCATAAAAGCCAACCCCCTTGCCTAAAGTCACACAGGAGGGTAATTTCATATCCTCTAAGAAACCCCGAAATCCTAGCACCTGCTGCATCTCCTCTCCAACACAGACCCTCTCTAAAGTGTTTTATTGAAGGTGTAAGCCACAAAATTAATCAGCCCATTTAGTGAGGTTCTTAGGGAAGGAGGAATGGGACATAGTTTGTACAAATTTTGTGTCACATGTGTTATATTGATACTTCCTCATTTTATTACCCCATGAGTTGCTTATTATTGTACCAACTTCATAACCAGTAAAACCAAGGATCAAGGAGGCTGAATGATAATGATGCTGATCACAGCTATCACTTGCTAAGCACTTGCTATATGCTAGTTCCCAGTTGCTTGCAGGTACAACTCAACCCTGCTCACAACAGCTCAATCAGGTAAATACTCTCACTAAGGGAATTCCCTAAGGACACACAGCTTAGGCTTGAATCGGGTCCTATCACTCTGACAGCTGCCTTTGAGCTGAAGCAGATGTTCACAGAGAATATCAAATTTCTATGTAAAAATGTGTAGGAAACTTTACTGAACCAGCATCAAGCAGGCAAACATGTTTACTGTGTTTATATTCTAGAAAACAAACAAAAATCTCTGAGAGGTAGATGGACAAAGTTTATTTCATATGAGCTTCCCTGATCCACTTAGCTGGGTAAAGGCTAGCAAGAGTTATTGAGTGGACAAATGAGTGAATAACAGATATTTCCATTGCGCTGCCATGAACTGAGTTTGTGACCTTGAGCAATGACTTGGGTTCTCTGAGCGTTTATTTCCTATCTGTAAAATGTAGTGGAGAGAAAGAAAGAGGCATGAAGTCCTAACCAGTTAGGTTAACCTCTGTGCTGAATTTTTGGAGGGCCTTGAACCACCACCCTGGGGCTTCCAGAAGGCTCAGGAAACAGTGCAAGACCTGAGCCCACTCCTTCAGAGTAACTTTCCCCTTTGTACCCGGTCATGTCAGGAATCATCTCTTAGGAGTCAAGCTGGTCTTACCCAGGTAGGAACCGTGATTCTTATTCCCTGGTAATTGGTCTGTGAATGTTATGATGGTACATGGCAAAGGAACTTTGTAGTTGAAATGAAGGTTGCTAATCAGCTGACCCTGAAATCAAAAGATTGTTCTGAATTATTCAGGCGGCCGAAATATAGTCACACAGGCCTTTATGATTAGAGGAACAAGGCAAAACAGTCAGTGAGAGAGAACTGGCAAAACATCAGGAGACAGGAGAGATAGGAAAGATACGACTTGATGAGGACCAGACCCACTGTTGTTGGCCTTAAAGATGGAAGAGGAGGCCATGGGCCAAGGAATGCAGGTAGCCTGCAGAAGTTGAGAGCAGACCCTGGATGACAGCCAGCCAGGAAATGGAAACCTCAGTTGTA